TCAAAAGGGTATGCAATGGAAAGTAAGTCTTCCTCCTAACTCTCACCTCCAGAGCCCAAAGCCCCTTTGGAAGCAACCATTGTCACCAATTTTTTGTGTGTCCTCCCAGTTATTTTATGCATATACCAACATATATATAGATGCATACATACCCTACATTTCCTTTTTTTAATTTTTAATCTTTTTTTTTTTATTTGGAATCTTGTTGTGTCACCCAGACAAGAGTGCAGTGGTGGCATCAAAGCTCACTGCAACCTCAAACTCCTGGGCTGGAGCAATCTTCCTGCCTTAGCCTCCCAAGTAGCTAGGACTACAAGCATGAGCTAATTTTTTCTATTTTTTGTGGAGATGGGGGCCTTGCTTTTGCTCTTGCTAGTCTGGAACTCCTGGCCTCAAGCTATCCTCCCACCTTGGCCTCCCAAAGTGCTTAGGATTACAGGCATGAGCCACTGTGCTTGGCCCCATACTCTTTCTTTATCCACAAGTGATGGCATATTACATAGTTTTACATCTTAATTTCTTCCCATCTCTTAGCAGGCAATTCATATTAGTACAATAGATCTATCCCTACTCTTTTTAATGGTTGCCTAAAAATATACCATAATTTAATTAGTCCACTACTAGGTGATGTTTAAGTCATTCTAATCTTCCCTAACCACAAATAATGCTACCTTCAATATTCCTGAAAATTTCTTTGACCACAGTAGTTTATCTGTAAGATAAAACTCAGGCAGTGCAATTGCTAAATTAGTATCACATACATTTTTGGCCTTAATACATAGTTTCAAATTTTCCATCCCTGAGGCTTCAGGGCAATCTGCCACAGCCTCAACGACAACCTACAGATGTCTGCTAGATGGCACTGGAAAACACTCAAGCCCAGTCACAGTAACTGGAGGATAATCTCTGGAAGGCTTGATGGTAACATGAGTGCTGGGAAAGAAAATCCATCTAATCAAACGTGTTAGCCAAACTGAAGAAAGAATGTGTTAACAGAATGAGGGTGGTCTCTACAAAATCCATAAGAGGGGAGTCAAACAGCAAGAATTAGGCAACATTTTATCTTTCACATCCAAGGGAGAGAGACACTTAACCTAATGGAGAGGCACCAGAGAAGCACATTCAATCAGGTTTCTCCAAGGCCTAGATGGAATTTCCTTCCATAAAATTCTACTCCTTGGTTCTGGGTCCTGGCACACCAAGAAGTCCAGTAATGCAGTCACTAATTTCTCTCCTTAAGTACCAGAATCCCAGGAAAACAGTTTAGTGGATTAAAGATGACCACAGATTCTTTGGCATGCCTCCCATTAAAAGGTGAGGTCTATGTCTCCTCTAGAATCTCAGCGGCTCTCTAACTGCTTTGATGAGTGGAATACAGTGGACGTGATGCTGGGCCAGTTTCCAGGCCCAGGCCTTAAGAAAAGGGCAACTTTGACTTTCTGTCTCTTAGAACCTTCAATCTGGGGGAAGCCAGCACCAGATAAGGAGTCTGACTATCCTACAACTACCATGCTGTAAGGAAGCCCAGGCAACCACATAAAGAGAGAGAGAATATCAGCTGTTCCAGCCAAACCCAGCCCAGGCACCAATTATGCCACTGAAGAAGCTATCTTGGCCGTTCCAGCCCCAGAAGATGTGACAAGCCAGCCAAAATCAGATTCGAGGCCCAGGCATATGGCCCCATGTGAGCAATCCTAGCCATCTTCAGCCATTCAAGCTGAAGCCCTACTCCATCATGGGGTAGAAATAAGCCATTTCCACTGTGCCCTGACTGAATTCCTGATCCTCAAAATTATGAATAGAACAAAATATTTCTTGTTTTAATCTACCATGATTTGGGCTAGTTTGTTATACAGCAACAGATAACTGTGTAATGGAGTATTATGGTCCTTGGGAGTTTGATCTCTCATCTTAGTTTGTTTTATGCTGCTATAACAGAATACCTGAGGCTGGGTAATTTATAAAGGACAGAGACTTATTTCTTACAGTTCTGGAGGTCCGAGGTCAAGAAACTCGTATCTGGCGAGGGCCTTCTTGCTGCGTCATCCCATGATGGAAGGCAGAAAGGCAAGAAAACATGTGGTGGGTGGGTGTGGGCTAAATTCATCCTTTTATCAGGAACCTGCACCCTCAATAACTAACCCACTCCAGCTATACCCCTCGCAGCTCCTCCCCTGTGCCTAAGACTGTGCCTGACAGGGGACAGAGGTGGGAAAAACACAGGCAGCCCTCAGAGCTTCACAGCACAATCTCCAAGCCTTATAAACAGATGCTGACAAGAAACACGATACATGAAATGACACACATGTGCACAGGGCATTGCGGGGCACAGGAAGGCCCACCAATTCAGGTGGTCCACAGTAAGAGCTACAGCATGGATACCTCATCATTCCCAGGATCACCATCCTCGAAAGATGTAAAGTTAATATAAATTTATGTATCACTTTAACATGTTCAAATTTCATTTTTCTAGCACTCTTGACATTATTTTCATTAGGAAAGAGAAAGTCACTGGTATTTATGGAGTAGTACGATTTTTATACGTTTCTGTTCCTACCCCACCCCCTTAAGCCCTAAGCTGATTTTATTACTTTTATGTGTGCTAATGCAGTTTCTGACAAGTGAGGGTAGAGGGGACATTGTGGTGGGCTGCCCCTACACCCATTCCTCCTCCCCTTGGTGTGGTAGCCACCTGGTTTGGGGGGGAGGGACTCCAACCCCAACTTTAGGAGTAAGTCTGCCTGCAGCTAAGCTAATTAGGGTGTGTCCACCTCCTCCTGGCCACTATAATGGGTTCAGGGATAGGCAGTTAACCCAGGCCAAGCCAGTCAACCAACTTCTACAAGACAGCGGAGCCCAGAGAGCTGCAGAAAAACAAAGATGTCGCTCTGATAACTTCATGAATCTCTAAAGCAAATTACATCTAAAGGACACTCAACTATGGGAGTTTTCCTTTCTATAAGATAATAAAGCTAGCTGCTTTATAGTTTCAGCCAGTGTAAGTGGCCACCAAACAAATTCTAACTGATAGAAAGTGAGTGGGTCACTGAAACATACCCTCTTCCTCAACAGGGCTATTAACTGGGTTTTATAGATGTACAATACTCTCTCTTTATTAACTCACATCGGCTACATGTAGCGGGGAGGACTAATCATGTATTTCCCATGGGACGGCCCAGGTTCATGTGACCTAAGATGTTTGGGATACAAGGACTGAAACCAGGGGCCTCTCCTAAATTCCAGCCCTAGGCTTCCCTTTCAAAGGCCACACATTCCTAGCTTTCTCCTGCTTCCTCTTCCTCCTCCTAAGGCCATCTAGAATTTCCCTGGTAGTTGCTACTATAGAGATAATCCTGAGCAAATCTCCCCCTGAGAAATCCTGGTCCTCACTCTTGGGACATTCATTGGGCCCCTTACATTTGTAAAGGTTAAATCAAACACGGGAAGTTAACAAGACTCTGGTTTCTTAGCTAGAGGAACTGGGGCCACAGGGAGTGATTTTTTAACCACCTCTCAAGATGTATCTGCCCCTCCAAGGCTCAGAATCATGAGCCCAACAGGGAAGGTCCCAGAAGACCCTGTTCCACCTGGACAGGTACAGAGGATGCAGCCCTAGTTGTGGTCAGTTTTTCCCTTCACGCCCTCATAGTCATTTTCCCCCTCATCCTCAACCCCCAGTCTGGCTTTCTGTGGAGTGTGGCTCCAATCTTCTCCATCCTGCATGCTGTCACACCGAGCATTCGTCACCTGAGACCCTCTGCGCCTCTTCTACCATGTATACCAAAACCTGGACAGTGGTTCTCACAGGCCATCTTCACTCACCCCCTGAATGTTCAAGAGCCCACCCCGGCCCCTCCAAGGAACCTGGACCCTTAGCATGGCCTTGAAGGCTGTCCTCAAGGGCCTGCCCTGTCCCCAGTCCCCACAGCTCCTCCTCAGCTTGCCTCCTCCACAGCACAGACACGAGGCCTACAGACAGTCAGCCAACCCAACACAAGACCTGCCTCCTCCTGCTCCTATCAGTCACTGATAGGACAGCCAAATGTCCCTGCAAAGGGCACCAATGGATCAAAGGCCCCATCCTTCCCTCAAGCTTAGAGCAGCTTCTTCCCCCACAGTCTTCTCTCTGCAGTTAACTGTTTATTGATCTATTCACTTCTTTGTCCTCCATCTTCCTCAAAGGAGCATATAAGCCCCATGAGGGCAGGGGGCAAGGACCTCATCTCATGGAATCCCAGCACTTGGAATCATACCTAGGACATAGTAGGTGCATTAATATTTGTTGAGCATCATTAGAAAGACAGAGGCCACATGAATCCCTTTGGTTCATTTCCTAAAACCTCTCCAACTTAACAAACGTTGGTCAACATTGGGTTTCTTCCAGCCTCTGTCAGCTGGCAGTGGGCTACCGTCCATCCCTGTCCCATCTCTGTGTTCCACTGGGTAAAGCCTTCCTATTGGACACTGATGTCTTCATAACAAAAATGCACCCTCTCCTTACTGTCTATGATTTTGCTTTCACTCACTGAGAAGCAATATTGGGGCTTTTCCCCCCCAAGAGGAAAACCTTGCACATTTTTAAGAGGCCTCTGTACTCCTCCTGAAGTTATTTCCTTTGGAAGAAGTTTGTGGGAGCCAATATCGCCACAGAATTAAATAGGGATTCTGTAACGTCTGTCAGCTTACACACACGCAGCTGCCATTCTCTTCCTAAGACAGCGCACTCCTCTCCCAACCTCTGTCCACTTTAAGTCCAGCCTCCAAGTCACCTCGTTGCTGGTGTCCTCCTGATTCACACCACTCATTGGCCTGTTCGTTTCGGCCCAAGTGTTCTGTCTGCACTTTGCCAATTGTCCCTACAGATTTCCAGTTTACGGTCATAGACTCAGTGAGTCCCCAGTTCGGTTCCTTCACTTTTTGTCCAACACCCCCTCCATCTTCAGCCTCTCTGTCCCTGTGCCCACCCCGATCTCCAGGTCGCGAGGATCCTGCTGGGTTACCTGGAGCTGGTGCAGGCGCAGAGCGTAGCCTTGCACGAACAGCTGAAATAAGAAGCGCAGCCGCCCCACACTTGGAAGCTCCTCTGGGTTTCGTAGTCGCCGCCTGCCGCCAGGCCCGGCTACGGGAGCCGCGGCTGCCTTATCCGCGGGGAGGGCGGCAGGGATAGCGGCCTTGGTTCTGGCCCCGCGTGGGCAGAGGCCACGGCCGGCCGCTCGCATCCCCAGCAGCGTCCACCTCAGCGCAGCCATGGGTCGTACTCGCCTCTGATCGGAGCGCGGAGCACCTGGACCGGCGCGGGGGGACAGAAGGGCAGGGGCGGGTTTAAAGGCCGGGGTGGCTCGGGGCGGGTCCAGACAAGCCTCTTCCTGGTCACTTTTCTACGCGGCCCTCGCTCCCTCCAAAGCAGGATCTTACGAACACACAGCAGCCACCTTCTCCAGCTGGAAGCCCCTGGCGCGGGGAAAGGCAGGAGATGGACAGGGTGACTTCGGAGACCCACAGCGCTCCGACCGTGGCCGCCGCCGCCACCGAATCCCCACCCCGCGCCGCCGCGGACTCTCAAGAACTTTTCGCTTTGTCTGAACTCTGGGCGGGAATGCAGCGACGCTCTCGGAAGCCCAGACTGTTTCCAAGACCCGGAGGCCCCACCCAGGGAGACCGGCCGGCCTGCCCGATCGCCACCCGAAAGCGCCATAGCCCCCGCCCCGTGGCTCTCGCGTCCCTGCTGCTGAGTGAGGCCAAACTGCCGCAGACTTTTCCTAACGGCCTCCCGGATTGATCCCGGAGTCCGAGGGCTGAGCGGCTGAGCGAGGCCACAGGCATCTGATTCCTGGAAAGGTGAAGCTGAAGAAACAAATTTAAGGATTAGTGGTTTTGGGGTTTTTTTTTTTTTGAGACAGAGTCTCACCGTGTTGCCCGGGCTAGAGTGCCATGGCGTCAGCCTAGCTCACAGCAACCTCAAACTCCTGGGCTCAAGCGATCCTCCTGCCTCAGTCTCCCAAGTAGCTGGGACTACAGGCATGTGCCACCATGCCCGGCTAATTTTTTCTATATGTTCTTAGTTGTCCGATTAATTTCTTTCTATTTTTTAGCAGAGACGGGGTCTCGCTCTTGCTCAGGCTGGCCTGGAACTCCTGAGCTCAAACAATCCGCCGCCTCGGCCTCCCAGAGAGCTAGGATTACAGGCGTGAGCCACCCACCGCTCCAGGCCTTGTTTTGTTTTTTTAAATGTAACTCTCCCCCACACACCCCTTCCTGCCCAGTCTGCTAAGGCAAGGTGTTTAAACTGCAGGTCGAGATCAGATTTAGTGGGTTGTGACCAGAGTTATTTTTAATAAAATGAAAAGAATAAAATAGTACAGAAAACTTATTGCAAGAAGAAATAGTATTGTCTCATGAATCCTTTATTTCACGTATATACAAAGTATAGTTTTCAAAAAGTTAAAAACATGACTCATGCAAATATAAAATAAACACAGGGTCAGAGATTATCTAATCCATGAATGAAGGACTCAGCTGGATGGTAAATCAGGTTCTAAGGGCATTGAAAAATAGGTTATCTGTAGCCTGCCAGAGTGAAAAAGAGCACCTTAAATTCAAACGATTAGACTGACAGCTGAGTGGCTAGGTGTGGATTTCTTTTTATTTATCCCAGGGTTCCTAGTTTCTTGAATCTGTGGCTGAATGTCTTTCATCAGTTTGGAGAGTTTTTTCACCATTATCTGTTAAAACATTACTTCTCCCCATTCTTTCTCCTTTCCTAGGACTTCTAGGATTTGGGTCCCTTTCAAATAGCTAGTTTACAGGTAGCTTAATACCTTGAACAATGTTTCACTATGTTGCTTGGGCTGAACTTGAACTCCTGGCCTCCAGGGATCCTCCCACCTTGGCCTCCCAAGGTGCTGGGATTACAGGTATGAGCAACCAAAGGCCTGCTTTTGTCTCTGACAGTTTCCTGAAGACACTAACAATCCAGGACCACCTTAGTACAATTTCAGGAGTGAGATGTGAGATGCTTTGAGGCTGAGCTGCAGTTCTTTAGAGGGTTAGTGTATTTCCGGTCCTTAATCCCTTTAGGTTCCAACCCAAATTTCAGACATGAGAGATCGTGAACTCCAGCTTTTCTTCCCCCAGCCATGTGAGGATCTATCACTCAGCTTCTCAGCTTCCTCTTCTGAAAATGGGAAATGCCACTAATGAGAAAGTGGTCCTAAATGACTAATTTACCCCTGGAATTCTGCCTTCCACTTTTTGCCAGCTGTAACTCAAAGCAACACACTCTAATCTTGCAATGACAAGGCCCTGAGGTATGTTGGAAGTTGTTGTATATCAACATGTATAGAGCTGTATCATTCTTTTTTAAAGCCACAAATTGGCCGGGCATGGTGGCTCTCGCCTGTAATCCTAGCACTCTTGGAGGCCAAGGCAGGAGGACTCTCTTTAGCTCAAGAGTTCAAGACCAGCCTGAGCAAGAGTGACACCCTATTTCTACTAAAAATAAAAAGAAATTAACCAGACAACAAAAAATAGAAAAAATTAGCCAGGCATGGTGGCACATGCCTGTAATCCCAGCTACCCGGGAGGCTGAGGCAGGAGGATCCCTTAAGCCCAGGAGTTTGAGGTTGCTGTGAGCTAGGCTGACACCATGGCACTCTAGCCCAGGCAACAGAGCAAGACTCTGTCTCAAAAAACAAAAAAAAAAGCTAACCCCACACATTATTCCAATGCATGGATTGACCATAATTTGTTACATCAGTATCCTACTGATTTACATTTGTGTTGTTTCCAATATTTTCTTTATATGTACAAATGATGCTGCAATAAATATCTTTCTATATTTGTAATTTTACACATGTGCAAATATGTGTGTGAAATAAATCCCTAGTAATAGAATTGTTGGTTCAAAAGACAGGTACATCTAAAAGTGTGAAAGCTCTGTAGCAGTTTACATGCCCTTGAGCCATGTTTGAGAGTTCGTTTCCCTATACTCTTTCCACTACATGATGGTATCAAACTTTTGGTGTTTGTCAATCTTATAGGTAAGAAATGTTTTTTTTAATGTAGTTTTGGTTTGCCTTCATCTTATTATAGGTAAAGTTGAAAATTTTTGTATAT